TATCTCTCTTCCATTTTCTTTCATTCTCTCTCTCTCATTCTCGTTTAATTCTCTTACCTAACTATGTGTAGAAAAACTGGCTTTTCCCGTAATTTGTTTGTCTGTCATTACTTTATCATTTCATTGCTTAATGGTGACATCTTATTGGCGCTAGGATGGAAATTGTAACGCAATTTTTATACGAATTGTTTTAATTTAGCATTACCATCTTCTCTTTTATCATAGTGCACAGGGATCCCAGATATAAACTGGAGTTGCGTAAATAAAATCATAGATCTACGCTTCTACGATACGATAGCAGGTGTAGAGTAAAACCGAAAATCATTCATTTCGATCGGCAACTTTTATTTCGTTGAGCCCGCATTTAAGTCCGTTCATAAGTGTAGGACTAGGGTTTCAGGCTAGAATCTTTATTCGCCTATCAATCATATCCTTCTCACTTTCACAAGTCGCCTGCATGTTCCGAGTAAAACCCCAGGCGATCGTGTGATTTCGTGGTGGCAACCGTTAGAGGGCGCGCTATTACGCCAAGTCACGAGCGCCCTTCAGAGACTCGCCGAGTATAGTAGGTTCATTCAGGAATTTTCCCGTCTCATTCATTCAATTAACTTCATTTCGTTCGGTAACATGGGTAAAGGGACACCTGTCGATCAAGTCTCACATAGTCTGACATGCTTAAGCCAGACATTGTTACCTCGATATATCGGAATTTTGTGCCAAATCCGAAACAAAGATTAAACAGTATCGTGGATTGCGCGGTGCATATCTGAAGCTCTGCAATGTAAGAAGTTTGCAAAGAATTATTCCTGTCACCGTTTAGTAATGCATGCATTTCATCGCATGTCATTAAATTCTTAGTTCAATGTGGCAGTTGAAATTATTTTGTTTTAATGCCATTAGCTAATCATCGCAGAATTGTTAATATGAACCTTAACCATTGTGTTTGTGATTCATTCTTTGTGAGTTCACTTTCACTCGGGCTCACTTTCACTCTCATTTACGCTCATTCTCTCTCTCTCTCTCGCTCACCACACACACACACACACACACACACACACACACACACACACACACACAACACACACACACACACACACACACACACACACACACACACACACACACACACACACACACACACATCCACGTACACACTCACCCATGCAGAACAAAAGACACTGCAACCTTACAAAAATAGGGTTTGTTAGTTGTCGTAGTTGCAGACATAGACTGATGATGTAATAATAGTGAATTAGCAATTATGACGGATAAATTTGCTCACAAACAATATCTCTTTCTCCCCCGCGATTTTGCCTGTCGTGACGAATGTACAACACTATGCACATTACTTCTTATTGTCTTATTGTTACATACTTTTCTTTCTATCTGAGATGATTAGTGTTTCAAGTAGATCGCGGAATGACACAGTTGTTTCCCTTATCTGCTCTCTTATCTATCTGAGACGGTTTGTACCTCATGCAGGGTCTTGCGGATCGCTACTTACGTGTCCCTCCCTTATTTTCCTACCTATCTTTGTGAAAAAAACGAAAAATTCAAAACTATCATTAAAAACTGCAAATTTATATTTAACCCCCCCAGCTAATTCACGCTTAACATCACCCTCCTTGTTGCCTTTCCTTTTCCTATAATATCTTGGCCCTTGCATGTATGATCTGGTTCACCGACGAAACATGGCAGTTGAACCAAAGATATCCGACACGGTACCGCAGAAGGACCTGGTGAAGCTATCGGTCGCCGAAGAATGCTGTGGGAAGGAGACCAGGAGGTCGTCAGTGCAGGCATTATCCACCTCAAGATGCTGTGGAAGGGCGCCGTCTGCCTGGACGCCCGTAGATGCAGTCAAAATCCAGGAGCTCGTCAGCGCAGGCATCAGCAAGATGTCGGAGAATGGCGCCGCCTAAACGGACGCCCGTAATCCCAGACGAAGGCTACGATGACGTCTGGTCGATCACGCAGCCAAGAAAGACCTGGGCGAGATCTACGAGGGATTGTGGACGAATATGCCGCCGAGTTAAACCTGGACGAGGACTAAGAGGAAGTCTGGACGAATGCAAGGTCAAGGAGGACCTGGGCAAGACCTTCGAGGACGTGTGGACGCCAAGGATGGATGGATGTCACCAAGGTCCAGGAAGAAGAGACTAACAAGGAGGAGCAACCGTGAGGATGATTTGAGGATCAGCCACCCCTTTGTATGTCTGTCTCTCTTTCTTTCTCTCTCTCCATCTCTTGCTCTTATTTTCTCACTCTTTCTAAATCTGTCTGTCTCTCTTTCCCTATCCCTCTCTCTCTCTCTTTTTTCTTTCTCACTCTCTCTAAATCTGTCTATCCAACTATCTTTCTTCCTCCTATTCTTCATATCCCTCTTTCTTTCTCCCTCTCCCTCTCTGCTTTCTTTCCCTTCCCCCACCCTTCTTACCTTTCCCTTTCTTTATTTCTTCCTTTATCTCCATACACATATACACAAATACATGAATTATAGAAAAGAAGGTTCATGATTACCTGCTAGCCACAGTTCATCTTCTTTCATGATTTTGGGGTCAAACAAAAGAGTAAGAAGTTCCTGAAACAAAACATGAGAATTAGAAACAATGTCGTCAGGTGCAGCAACATTACCCTGTTATGTGTGTGTGTTGCGCGCTATACAGCCACAGCCACACACACACACACACACACAAAATATGTATGCATATATGTATATATTGACAGAAGACATAATTTTTGATGACATCGCAGTGCCCCTTCACCTTTACATACTTGTATAGCAGAGCTAAGAAAGAGCTGCGGTGTGTTGGCCAGGACTGGGTCAGGGGGGCCCCCAGAGGCTGCTGCTTTTCTGAGGTCTCCATCCTTGCTTCTGAGATACACCCGCACACCTCGGTGGCCTCGCGAACATATCTGGTGCAGTATTCTTACCACCTAGAAAAAAAAATGCTTTCTGAAATTTCCTGTGAAACATTTTGATGCCACATGAGTAGGTGAGACCCAAGTTATGGCGTTGACCCATGTCATTTCAGATTAATCTTAGAGACTAAGTTGATTAAAAGGGCATAAGGGACATACATCAATTTAGCAATAAATAAAAAAAATATAGAAGCCTAGGATAGGATAGGATGAAGGGACAACTATAGCATGGCATAGCCTAGCTTCCTTGGCTCCCTGGATGGATGCATAAACGATGGCAGCCTACAGCATGCATAGGCTAGCTTCCTTGGCTCCCTGGATGGCATGCATAGCCTAGCTTCCTTGGCTCCCTGGATGGCATGCATAGGCCTAGCTTCCTTGGCTCCCTGGATGGCATGAAATAGGCCCTAGCTTCCTTGGCTCTCTGGATGGCAACTTAGGCCTAGCTTCCTTGGCTCCCTGGATGGCATGCATAGGCCTAGCTTCATTTGCTCCCTGGATGGGCTGGAGCTTAGGCCTAGTTCCTTGCTCCCTGCGATGGCTGCATAGGCCTAGCTTCCCTATGGCTTCATGCTGGCCTATTGCATCAATAGGCCTAGCTTCTTGCTCCTGGATGGCATGCATAGGCCTAGCTTCCTTGGCTCCCTGGATGACACTAGGCACTGGATGCATAGGCCTAGTTTCCTTGGCTCCCTGGATAGCATGCATAGGCCTATGGCAGCTATAGCTTCCTTGGCTCCCTGGATGGCCTAGCTTTCCTTGCTCCCTGGATGGACTTAGCTAGCCTTGGCTCCCTGGATAGCATGCATAGGCCTAGCTTCCTTGGCTCTCTGGATGGCACATAGGCTAGCTTCCTTGGCTCCCTGGATGGCATGCATAGGCCTTGCTTCTTTGGCTCCCTGGATGACATGCATAGGCCTAGCTTCATTTGCTTCCTGGATGGCACGCTTAGGCCTAGTTTCCTTGGCTCCCTGGATAGCATGCATAGGCCTAGCTTCCTGGATGGCATGCATAGGCCTAGCTTCCTTTGCTCCTTGGATGGCATGCATAGGCCTAGCTTCCTTTGCGCTGGATGCTGCATAGGCCTAGGGCTCCCCGATGGCATGCATAGGCCTAGCTTCCTTGGCTCCCTGGATGGCATGCATAGGCCTAGCTTCCTTGGCTCCTTGGATAGCATCCATAGGCCTAGCTTCCTTGGCTCCCTGGATGGCATGCATAGGCCTAGCTTCCTTTGCTCCCTGATGGCATGCATAGGCCTAGCTTCCTTTGCTCCCTGGATGGCATGCATAGGCCTAGCTTCCTTGACTCCCTGGATGACATGCACAGGCCTAGCTTCTGTGCAAGCCTGCCCCTGGTCCCAATCCTTAATGCACAACCTTTCAGTCTGACGCAGAGAACTAAAATATGCTCAGCTGTGAACAATTCATCTTACCTTCTGCTTCCCAGGCCATGACGATATCTGGAGACGAGCTATCAGGAAATCTACCAAGTGGTGCCTGTGACCTTGAGACTGATGGCTTAGCTCTGCAGCGAAGTTAAGAAAGAATGCAATAAAATTTGGCAACCATTACACATACCCAAGGTTTGTTTTTCAATTTTTGTGTGTTTTTGTGGCATGATTTTCGAAAGGTTTTCCAAGTTTCATAATTTTCCCTCGCTGAAACACTAAAAAGGTGGATAAAGATTATTGTATAATGATTTTTTTTTTTTACTCTAATCCCAGAAAATTCATTTTTTTACTTTAATCCCAGAATACCTGGCATTGCCCTATGGTTACAGATTTTAGTGTGTACTTTAAATAGGCTAACAATTGAAAGGTAGAATATCATCTACTTCAAAATTCCTAACCATTAATGGAAACTAGGACAGGCAAACTTCAATGTCGCACGACCATCATTGTCTCAGTGATCAGTCATCATGAATCGCAGCATGATTCATTTGAGAAGGGGACACCTGCGTTTTCCCCTGGGCCAAGGCCGTATCAAATGCACAGGGGGTCCTCCTTCCCCCTTCTTTTCTTCTTCCAGAGATAATCACTCAGCACTATTACCATCTGACCGCCTGTGATTTTTTTTCAACAAAGGGTGTCAAACCCATGGCCCGCAAACCAAATGTAGCCCTCGGCATTGTCATAAATGACAAATTGAATTATCAGCCCGTGAAGTATGACCGTCAAGGAGGACAGCCTGTTTAAAAGCTAGAATTAAATTGTACAATAAACCCTAGCAGCTAATGGTCAATACATGTATATCTACACTCTGTTACATTAGTGTTACCATTTCAAATTGAATAAGTAATATAAACTTTATGTTCAGGTACTTAATATCAGACAATTTTCTTTTCTTCTTTTTATAACATAATCCTATGATAGCTGAAAATTAAATTGGCCCTCGAAGAGTTTTGAATGTGACATCCTTTATAGTAATCTTATTATTTGCCATGGACAGCTAAATATGGGTTTATTTCTGTAGGATAAAATGTGCTTTAAAGATTTTGAAGGTAGAAGACCATAGAAGGAAACTCTATGATACACAATTTTCTTTGATGAAGTAAAAAAAGAAATTAATGCATAACTTTTCGCATTTATAACACGCACAATATAAATAAATAAATAAATATCCGCATTTATTTTGCTAGTGATATAACCTCTTTCCTATTTGTCATCGAATTAAAATAAACAGATGAAAAGTATATAATGCAAATTAAAACATTGCCTTTCGATATGGTAAACACGAAAGAAAATTTCAATAAAACACAAAAACTCAACATCGCCTTCACTGACACTATTCCTCACTTCCATCTCAAATACACCAATTTGGGTGATGCGTGTGTAAATGGCGACAGATAAAGAAGCTGTGATACAGTTCCATGCCGTTTACAAGCAGGGAAGATGTGCCCTGTAAATGTAATGAAAGTGCGTGTTCTTGTTCTTTCGACATGCGGATGCGGTGGGCAGACTGGGGGCTCTGTCCATAAGGGTTGTATCCTCCAGTGTCTTTGTAGGAATATCAAAACTAAACGAAATTCCATTGCAAAAAGGATACTGATGATATCTTCAAAGAGGTATCCTGGTGTTGGGGTATCGTTGTCAATGGTTGCCTTATTCAGCATCGGGTACTGGAAAAAGAAAAACAAAATTGTATCAATAAAACATGGACCGTAGTTTACATAAACATGGTCGCTGTTTTCATAACTCAATACATCTACGGTTATGACCACATTCGCATGATATAGACCTTGGATCAGTGATTTTCAACAAGGAAGGGGGTAAATTGGTGCTAATATGAGATTGATGTGAAGGATCTTTTTACATGGTAATTTGTGCTAGTTTAAAATAGGTCAAGTGGTTAGTTTCCTACTAAAAAGCTTCTGTAGCTGGAACTCCAGCCTGTAATTAAGGTGACAATATTAAAAAATGGTACATTTTCTACATTACTTAAGCATGAACTTCTCCCGTCAGCTCAACAAACCAGAGGTAAACATACAAACGTTTGTGTTTGTGTGTGTGTGTGAATATATATGTATGTGTGTATATATATGTATATAAAATAAATATATGTATACATATATATGCATATATATGAGTGTGTGTGTGTGTGTGTGTGTGTGTGTGTGTGTGTGTGTGTGTGTGTGTGTGTGTGTGTGTGTGTGTGTGTGTGTGTGTGTGTGTGTGTGTGTGTGTGTGTGTGTGTGTGTGTGTGTGTGTGTGTGTGTGTGTGTACACATATGTTTATATACATATATATATGTATGTATATATGTAATATATATATACACATATATTCATACACAAACATATACATATATGTATATAATATATATATAAATATATAAATATATATAAATGAATATGCATGTGTGGGTGACTGTGTAAGATCGCTATTCATTCGACATTTAGAAAGGTGCATTGGTTCTAATTTTAAAGATGTATGGACTCCACTGAAAAGTTTGTTTACATATATTAACATTTGTAAAGGTATATCAATAAAGTAAAATTTAGTGATATACCAAACAGAGTAAATCATAATAATCACTTGTAAATCGTCTGTTTGCTTTAATGTTAAACAGGTATGTTGAGTGCTGGTATTATAAATTGCGTTTTACCCTGATATTACAGATTGTAAATGCTTGATAAGTGTATTAACATGGTTATGGAATCCCTGTGTATTGAACTGTGCTAATTCAGACGAATCTTGGCTTCTGTCCAAACACTTAGAGAAGAAAGGGTTGAGAAAATGTGGCGAAAACAACAGCCATGATGCTTTGCTGTTAGTGAACATTTTGGTTATTTATCTTGTTATATCATTGGCCCGTGGGTACAGCAACAGAATTAGTCATAGGTGACATTTCCGGCAGTATCAATGAATAGGTTGAGAGTGGAATTGTCCATTAAAGATAAGAGTAAGAGAGGAAAATTATGAAGAGTAAAAGGAAGGGGAATGATTGCTTTATGTGCAAGTAAAATCATGGAAGAAGAATTGATGCATTGGTATCGCCTTTTACAATTGTGTGTATCTCTCTCTTTGAGCATCGGACTCAAAGACTGTCACGACAATCTAAGTTCAAGGGTTCGAAGCC